CCCCGCCGCCCCCCGCGTGTCTATGACGAACTCCGCCGCCCGGTCAACCTGCGGGGAGGGGAGGGGGGTGAGGGACAGTTAATTAATAATTCATATTATACTATATTTAACATTATTAAAATTAATAAATATATATAATAATGTTGATATTAAAACTTATATCGTTATTATATAGGTACTCGTGTATTATAACTGTATCATTATGGTTATTATACATGAATATTATTAATTATTATTATATAACTAATATATTGAATTCAATATTAAGGATCTTCTTAATATTGAATGACATGCCATTAATCACTATTATTTCAAAAATATTATTATTAATATTATTAATATTTTAAATATTATTATTAACATCAAGAGTATATTATTATTTAAACGGTTAGTATTTCACAACTGTACAAATAATTGTGACTGAAGGTGTTCAAGAATTTCTGCATGTTGAAACGTTTTCAAATTACATTTTGTTTTAAAAATGTAGCAAAATTTCTCTGTTTTCCATGAATATTAAATAAAATAGTATCTCATACTTTTCAGTTGTTCTTATAGCTTCAATATAATTAAATATTTATGCAAGATCGCTTTCACGTAATGAAATTTTTATATAAATATATTAATTATAATGCATTTCATTAAAACTTAGTTTAGGTTACACCAGGTTTTAGTAATAGATTATTATATGTTATTATATTATTAATATTATTATTTTATAATATAATAATTTTATATACATTATTAGATTATTATATGTTAAATTCATGGATATTAAAAGGCAAGTAGGGATATATGAGGAGAGGGGGGATGGGGGAGGGGGTATGGGTTGCTGACCCACCCCCTGACCCACCTTGCCCGACACGAGCCCCGGACCCCACGCCCGGACCCGCAGCGCCGCGCCCCCCACATCGCCCCCCGCGGGGGTACACGTCATCCTGCACACGGGGGGTGAGGGTCTACATCAAGAGGGCCTACATCAAGAGGGTCTACATCAAGAGGGCCTACATCAAGAGGGCCTACATCAAGAGGGCCTACATCAAGAGGGCCTACATCAAGAGGGCCTACATCA